AGACAGCAAAATCTAGCAGACGAATTTTTTCCCAAAAACCATCAAACCACGTGGTCCACACATCCGGTAAATGTCTAAATACCGAAAAGTACCGCATGCAACCGAAACGTACCGTAAATAGTTATGGATCTGGATTTTTTTCTCACTGCGTGTCTTGTAAATTTGGTCCCGTAAATTATATTTCTAACATCGTTTGCACATTTCAAATGTGATTTTTTGTTTACTTCCGACTCTATTTGGAAATATTGTTTTTAAAATGGTGTATTTGTCTTTAATGTATAAAATAGCCCGTTACGTTTTATCATATACTGAGCGCCATGGAAAACATATCACTTAGTTTTTCGTAGAACAAAATGATCCTGTAAACATATCTTATTTATTTTGCTTCTTATTGTGAACAATATTCAAATGGGAACACATCAATAACAACACATTTGTACACTTATGGATGTTTAATCTGTAATCAACGGTACAAAGTCAGAGGGGTGAAAAACCAAAAGTACAACACAGATGTCAGTAGCGCGTGTGTCCTCCACGGGCTCTTACGCACGCTGTGCAGCGATGTCGCATGGAATTTATCAATGTTTGAAAAAAGGCCTGGGGCAAATTGTTCCATTCTTGGACAAGAGCAGCTTCTAAAGCGGCAATGGTGTGCAACTATGGTCTCCGATACAGACGGCGTCCAATCTCATCCCAGACATGTTCTATCGGTGCCATGTCCGGAGACATGGCTGGCCAGTCCAAGACATTGATGTTGTTAGCAGCCAGGTAGTCCATACTAAAACGGGCGGTATGCTGACGTGCATTATCCTGTTGGAAGTGCTGAAGTTGTGAGTGCGCTAGAAACATCGGAACAATTGGTTGCAAGACATCATCACGGTAGGCTACAGCATTAACGCGACCCCTGCAAATGTGACGGGCGGTCTGGTGATGAAATGTGAAGCCTCCCCACACCATTACACTTCCCCCACCCCATCGATTCGTTTCGAAGATGCAGCAGTCTGCAAGACGTTCCCCAAGACGTATCTACACAGTTTAACGGCCATCAGCGTGATAAAGATGAAAGCGACTCATCACTGAAGAGCACACTTTGCCAGTCTACTCTTCTCCATGTCTGGAATTTATCAATGTTTGAAAAAAGGCCTGGGGCAAATTGTTCCATTCTTGGACAAGAGCAGCTTCTAAAGCGGCAATGGTGTGCAACTATGGTCTCCGATACAGACGGCGTCCAATCTCATCCCAGACATGTTCTATCGGTGCCATGTCCGGAGACATGGCTGGCCAGTCCAAGACATTGATGTTGTTAGCAGCCAGGTAGTCCATACTAAAACGGGCGGTATGCTGACGTGCATTATCCTGTTGGAAGTGCTGAAGTTGTGAGTGCGCTAGAAACATCGGAACAATTGGTTGCAAGACATCATCACGGTAGGCTACAGCATTAACGCGACCCCTGCAAATGTGACGGGCGGTCTGGTGATGAAATGTGAAGCCTCCCCACACCATTACACTTCCCCCACCCCATCGATTCGTTTCGAAGATGCAGCAGTCTGCAAGACGTTCCCCAAGACGTATCTACACAGTTTAACGGCCATCAGCGTGATAAAGATGAAAGCGACTCATCACTGAAGAGCACACTTTGCCAGTCTACTCTTCTCCATGTCTGGTGTCCTTGAGCCCATATCAAATGCCGCAGATGGTGATGATCCCTGAGGATAGCTCCAACATAAGGTCGTCGTGCACGGAGCCCTACTTCTCTTAGACAACGTCTTACGGTGTTGGCACTTACTGGTCCTTGTCTTCTGACGACTGCTGCACCTGTTCGAGTCGCTGGGCAGAATCTGTCACGCAGATAGTGACCCAGATGTAGCGGTCTTGAGTCTGGGTTGTAACGCGTTGTGGACCAGGACGTTGACGGTCACGTGTTGATCCAGTAACTCGAACACGTTCCACCAACCTTAAAATAGTGGACTGATGACAATTGAAGTGTCTGGCAATAGCACGTGTAGACATGCCAGCCCTGGACATGCCCATGGCTTCATTCCGTTGATTTTCAGTAAGTCTCGGCATCTCTAGCTCAATTGCTTCACACGTACAACAACATATTACGACAGATTGACGTTTAACAGTTCATGTACTGCACATTAAGTTGAAAACATGCTTTTAAAGGGCTCACACACAATGCTGCACGTGAATATTGGGTTTTTCATGTGCATCTCGTGCAATTCTTTTTTTTGCACACGGGCCGATATTTTTTGCGTTTGGGAGCATTGTGTGAAACAATAGTTCATAGTATTGCATAACATTATACATACAAAACCAACTAGTAATAAAATATTTGGGAAAAAAAAGTGATCCGTTTTCCATGGCGCTCAGTATATTTAGATGTCGGAGATCTCACGATGATTAAGATCAATTGTCCCGTAGATTAGAAATTTGATTTTCACAATTATTTCCTGTTGCAGTAGTTATTTCTAATTAATAACGGGACTATTTACCTGCTTAAATTGATATTTGCTTAGTCCCGTAAATTAGGAGCTTCTGGAGACAGCAACAAAATGGTCCCAATATTTCACCGATGTCTTAAAAACTACTCCGAGGTTTTGTTAAATGAAAACTACATATCAAAGTGTATTTTTCAGCAATATGCAGGATTTACATCATTAGAATTAATCGGTGTAATCGATGTGTATTAATGACGGTACTGCACGGCGACATGCTCATTTCTGTTAGTATCTGTCGATATAACGGTGATATCTTTGTTCACAAAATATGTATACTGTTATCAGAAAAGCCCTGTGTTTAATAGAGCTAATTCACATGACGTCACACACATTGGCCGCCGCCATCTTGGTGGACAACCAGACTACACGTGGTCCGATAGTTACAATGTGATTGCAGTTGGAATTATGCTTGTAGCCCTTTTGTCATGTGATATTTATGTTGAAAAAGATTTTGTCTATGTATTTTAAATTTTACATTTAATTTCTATTAAAATCCGAATTCGACAGTTAAATAACGTGTTTATAGCGACAAAACGGTGTTTGTTTATAGGCTACATAAAACAATTTCTATTAAAATCCGAATTCGACCGTGGCATTTAACGCGTTTATAGCGACAGATCGGTGTTTGTTTATATGAAATAATATGAAATTCTGTTTCTACGGCGTATTTACAACAGAAAAAAAAAAAAATTTCCATTATATTTATTTATATAGGCGAAATAGCTACATCGTGTTTGGGTACCTACATGGATAATGTCTGACGTGGAAAATTATAAGTTATATAAATTAAGCGACATTTCGAGAACTACTTAAATTTATTTTAATTTTTTTATTTTAAAAACAAACCCATAAATTAAACACACACACAATCGTGTGAGAAGCTCTATACCATACGTAGGGTAATCAATCGAACATTTGAAAAACTGACTCACTGGATAGGCCTATATTTTCTTTCTTTTTGGGTAAGTTTTAATTTGAGGTTTAATAATTATTCACTGATTCGATATAATCATCATTTAATTGTTTCTGTTATCCATCTTTAATCAAGAGAAAATATCATAAAAATGCACGGAGGCCATCAATCTTATTTGCATATTGCATACTTTATAGTATTATTGGCTGGAATTAATTTTAGATCGATAACCACAATGACTAATTATGTAGTACCGTAGGACTATAAAGTGTGTAGGGCCAACAAAAAAAAATAAGTAACTAATAGAATAATTTATTTAACGTCAACAAAAATATTTCAAGCACCCATATATTTACTTCAGGCATCATGATTCCAGAACAGAGTATCGAATTCAGCGATTCTTATTTTTGGTGCCAAAAATAAAATTTTCATTGGACGATATTCAATGAGACGTTTAAATGGACTTTATTTGCAGTCTGTGGATTCCTTTTTTTTTCTTTTTTTTTTTGACAAATTTGTAAGAAATGACGAGAGTGCTTTTATCAACGGTAGAGCGATGAAAAACCCGTTTGATATGACGTTTGTGGGAGCCGAGAAGAGCGACAGCAATCGCTCGCCTCAAATGTGAAGCACTGAAATTGACAAACGTTACTCGATTTGATGCAGATCGAAAACGAAATTACATATACCATGTTACCTACCACTGAAAAGCACGCTTATTGCCCCTTTCAAATATGTAAATAATTTTCCAGAACAGTCATACTTAAATGCCTTGAAAAGCAAAGAAAGTGCAGTGTGGTACGAAACTCGTAGGGGTAGGACTATTGAAATTAAAAATACGGGTCCTAATACAAAATTCCAGATATCATATTACGTATAACTGTAAAGCACGTTCATTGCTCTTTTCAAATCAGTACGTTATTTTCTGGCGCATTTATATTTTTTTACTCTGAAAAGCAATCAATGTGCGATGGTACTAAAATCTATTACCATGATGTCTAAGAGGTGGGTGTGTTGTTGTCCACCAACATGGCGGCGGCCTGTATATAGGTCATGTATCGGGTGCGCTCTATAGACACCAATTGTCATGGTTATGTGAGAATGAGACTTAACCTTGTTCTTCGAGTCGCTTGTTTAGTTACAAATTGCGTTGAAACGCATTATGGTATTGGTACACGATTCGTGTATCAATCATAAAATGTTTATTTTGTCTTAAATATTGGATATCAGATGCCCATCTTTTCCCGGTAAGATCACAACACCAATGTGAATGTTGATTAAAATTGACAACGATCGAATTCGTGTTTTCAATAATGTCGAAGGTTTTGGATGATATTGAGTTCGAGACTTAGCTACTTTAATATAAAAATATAACCAACAATCTATTCAAATGTTTCTGACAAAAATAATTTACTGGTGCCTCTAGTTGTCTTGAAAGCAGATTATCGGATAATGAAAGTTGATCATTCGAATTTGATTTCAATTGTCACAATCGCCGGCTTGGGATGACAAAATTATGAAAACTCATCATCTTCCCAACTTCAATGACGTCAATAAGACCTAAATTTTGGCGAATACGTTCATACCTTTTTCTTTTCCAAATTGCTAACTTTTCTATCAACAGCAGTCAGGACTTGTTTAATAGGGTCCTCAAACTCCTGTTGAGTTTTTTTTACTTGTTTTTCTGTGGCGGTAGGCATTCTTCAAAGGCAACAACAGCATAAAGAGGTTTTCACGTGGTTAAATTTGTCACTGTCTTACCATGGTCACTACAATACGGGAATAAACTTATCAACATTAAAATTTCTCTGCTGAAACATTAACTGTTTAAATCAAATGATTTCTAAATGAAATCAATTTTTCGCACTGTAATTTTCGTCTTTAATAGTAACAACAGAACGAGAAAATAAAGCAAATAAACCTTTTAATTCAATTTTTACAATATCCATTGGGACCGTGGTAAATATTTTGATTATCCAGGCTTTGGCTGGCCTCGATGTATTATCTGTACACAATCTGTTTCACAGAAATGAAATGAAATGAAATGGGGTTTAATCGTCCTACTGTTCTGCTCCTAAACTGGGCTAGTGAAGACGGGCATACGCCATACAGTGTGCTATGAGGGAAATTTTGCCCGGGCAGCGGCGCTACGGCCTGCACGGGACCTCGGTTTTTCGTCCCATCCGAACGACTCGACAGCTGTCCTTGTCAGGCCCTCCATCCTGCATCACTGAAAAGAGGAAACCACGCCGGAAAATCTGAATGAACTTTCTCGGCCAATGCAGCGATCACAAGGGGAAACCACGCCGGAAAATCTGGATGAACTTTCTCGGCCAATGCAGGGATCTGTTTCACAGATGATTACGAAAAGTTTTCTAATATCTCTGTAAAAGATGACTACCTTTAAAGGGACAATAACACTCTTGCTGGCTTGACAGCTCCAGAAAATAAATAATAGCCTTATTCTAAGTAGCGACCGGCAGCTATTTTTAAATATTATTTTCTTCTTTAGAAGCTTGTTATTTTCCGAAAGCTGTACATCTTAATATTGTAACAACGCTAAGTTTATGAAAATCGGAGCAGACTGAGTTACTGCCCATTTAGTAACGCGAACTGGCAGACCCCTTGTTCGCAAAATTGGCCATTTTGCTTCCATTTTCAACCCCACTTCATATCTCAGAAACCAAAAGTCCTAGAGACATAATTATTTCACCAAAATAAAACTAATTTACGCACCAACACAATCATGCAAACCCATTACACATAGGCTGAGAAGTTTATTTTCTAATGTTTGCAATAACCGTACAGAAGATTAAATAATTACGTAAACTTGAACTAGCTACAATCAGTTATTTTTAAATATTAATTTGTTGTCTATAACACTATTATTTTTACTGTCCGTTTAGTAACGCCAACTGACAGACCCCTCTTTTCGCGAAATCGGCCATTTTGCTTCAATTTACAGCCCCACTCCATATCTGAGAAACGAAAAGAGCTAGAGACATAATTATTTAACCAAAATGAAGCTTATTTATGTATCACACAGTCATACAAGCACATGACACATACCTTGAATAGTTTATGTTCTGAGGTTTGAAACACCGGTACAGAAAATTAAATAGTAACTTTAACTAAACATAATCAATAATGATACAATATAATCAAAATATTTAAAAACAAAACTTCGTAGTAGAGTATTCAAAACAGAATAAGAATAAATTAAGAACTAGAACTGCGATGCAGTAATTACGGGTTTCACCGGTACCACGTTACCCTAAACATGTCACTTCCGGTACCAATGAAACCATTAAACAGGTTTCCACATAAGCATTGCACACATCAAATAAAATGGACGCCGAATCAACCAAATCCAGCAATATCAATTCATTTTATACATTTGTTACATGTAAGTGTACAGTGCTTCCGGTGATAATGAAAATGTTCAATTAGTTTTATGAAATCAGAAATGGCATAAGGCATCACATGGTGAAAATTTTATGTAAATCGAATAATAATTGCCACTTTTATGGACCAAAAACCTTGAAAAATGACTTGTAGAAAATTGCCTATTTCTCTGCAACTGAACAAGTTAGAAACCATTTTGTGATATCTATATGATCGTAAGGGTTCATTCTTTTAGTTGATTAGAATCAAATATCAAAATCTTAAACAAACAACAAATAGGACGCATTTGAATAAATTATTTGTTTCGAAGGCTATAAATACAGTTTTTGTCCAAATTTCGTCATTTCCGGTGACATTGAAAATGTTAAATTGAGTTGAACTAGTCACAATTGACATTATGCATCAAATGGCCCTTTTTTATGAAAATTCAAAAATAATTGTCTCTTTTACGGGCACAATAGCGTAAAGAGTGACTAGTGCAAAATTGACCATTTCTCGGCAACTGCGCATATTTCAAATTAATTTTCACATACATTCTCTCCGTATAGATTATTGCTACGAGTTTATGAGAGTTACGAAGTAATATTTTAAAATATGAAAACGCTGGATGGGTTGTAAATAGCTTAATTTTACACCCTTTTTCACCTTTTAATCGAAATAGCCCGAAAACGGAATCGAAATTTTAAAAAAACTGGGTCCAACATTTTGTGTGCCTTTAAAGGGCGCACCCTTTCAGTTATACCAGATTTGAAAAAAATAATATTTGCTTTCGAAAAGTGGTACCTAACTGTCAAAATTGTAGTTTTTGGTAAAATTACGCCACTTCCGGTGCCGACAGATTACTCTATCGGTAACAAATAAAATGGCAATTGAGACAACGGAGCATATGAACTTTGTTTTATACAAATTGAACAATAAATAATTAATCTAGGACTGAAAAAGTGAATTAGCCAATGGCGGCCAAGGAAAATTACTGAGACAAAAAAAAATCAGATTTTTGCTCAAGTCAGATGATTCGTTAATTTTGTGTAAAACACGACTAAAAAATATTCATAAATAAAAAAGTTTATTGTAAAAATTTAAATTTTCGAAATTTGGCGCATAATATCTGCGAAGATTTGCCGAAAATCAAAAATCAAAAGTAGCGTAGCTATGTGCCCCGTCTCCGCCTATGGCGAAATGTATCGAAAGTTAAAATCCAATGATTATTGTTAAAATTACTGCAATATTTCTAAAAACGATAGCTTCGGTGATTTCGGACATTTCGCATTGTCGCAGAACGTTCAAATTAGCTTTATCCTCTAAGTCACACCCACTTATCCAGTAAAACCGAAGAAATCGTAATGATCCGACAAGCAGTTGCTGAGATCTAATCAAAAATAAATTGGAATAATAATAATAACTAGACCGGCAAGCAGCACTGAACCGGCTTTCAGAAAACAGACAGGAAGTGTGCCATACAATAGCCCATACGATACTTTAGATGTTTTGATCCGGTCACACCCGACGGTGAAATCCCGATTGTTGCAAAAGCACCAATTTTTTTACTGTCTTTTTTTTTAAAATATCGAATATGTTTTTGACTACTTCCTGTATACGGATCATTATCGGGATAGATTTAACAAGTGGTACTGAACTTAACTTCCTGTACCAGAAGTTTCAGAAAGATCCATTGGACAGTTTTACCTCCCTTATACCATTAGAAGCAGATTTACAGATATAACGATTTTTCGATTTTTTTCAAAGATTGTGGCCCTTTTGGACCATTTATACTATATTGGGGCTTTTAAATTTGGATTTACACCATAGCCCACCGTTAGGACTCTAAGTAACAGAAGTTTAAGAAAGGAAATAAGAGAAGTTTTCGAAATAAAAGCGTCTGAATAGGCTCAAAAAAAGAAAATAATAGATTTTCAGCGTTCCATTATATATTGCCTAACCCGCGATTTTTTACCATTTAGATGTCATAAGATCGTCCATTGTTCGAACTATCCAATGACACTTTAATTCTCTTGATTCGGTGGAATCTGGCGTAGTAATCACTTTTTTCGCAAGATCTCCACTTTTTTTACTTTTTACGTTTTTGTTTCTCAAAATATCGGAAAATTTTTCGACTACTTCCGGTTTCTAGATCATTGTCGGGATAGCTTTAACAAGTTGTTTGGTTACCTTACTTTCTGTACAAGAAGTTTCAGAATAATCCATTCAGCTGTTTTGCAAAGAAAGAAAATTAGAAGATCATTTTCAGTAATTTAAGGATTTTTCAACTTTTTTCCAAGATTGAGGTTCTTTTTGGACTACTTATATTATTTCAATGCTTTTATTTTTGGACTCACACCATAGTCCACCGATAGGACTCCGAATAATAAAAGTTTAAGAAAAATCATAGTTTTCGTTTTCGAGAAAATGGCGTCTCAAAATGCTCCAAAACGGCAAATACTAGATTTTTGGCGTACCATAATTTATTTTCTAGCCATCTAAATCGTATCATTCAGATGTCATATGATAATCCATTAATGGGGCTATCCAGCGACACTTTAGTTCTTTTGGTCCGCTAAGATCTGATGGAGAAATCAAGTTTTTCGCACGAGCGCCAATTTTTTTAAACCTTTTTCTTCATTTTTTGCATACTTCCGGTATGGAAATTATTGTCGGGATAGTTTTAATAACCGGATTGGCTTATCAAATAGCCACAGGGCTATGTAATGATATATTACATTGTCTGATCAGATAAAATGCCCCTGGGAAATCCTATGTTAAATAGTGCCAAAAATGCAAAAATGTCAATATATCGAAAACTAAATTTAAATATTTTAATACATATTATACATCGTTAGAATCGTAATTACGTCAGCTATCTGAATATGTAACTTTTTTGTAAAAAGATTTTTAAAATAATAAAGTAATAGAGCATTTTCCCAAATTTTACGATTTTTCAACTTTTTTCGATTTTCAGTCCCTTTTTTATCCTATTCCAGACATTTCAAAGTCTTAGTGGATGTTTTCATGCACAAGACTATCGAATGGACTCTCGATAGAGAAAGTTAAAAAAAAATTGTAGTTAAGTTTTTGAGATAAAGGCGTCCAAAAACGCTCCAAATCAGAAAATACTTGATTTTCAGCTTGTCATATTTTGCTGCTTGGTCATAGTATCCGTATAAATTGGGCATCATACGACAGTCCATTCCTCGGGCCACTAAACGGAAGCTTAATTCGTTTAATCCATTGATATTGGACGGAGAAATCGAGTTTTTCCCCAAAACACCCATTTTTTGCGGTTTTTTTTCGAAATATTTATCATTATTTCGACTACTTCCGGTCTCCGGATCGTTGTTGAAATTGCTTTACCAACCGGTCTGACT